AAACTTCGCAAAAACACTTTTGACATGTTTGATCAGTCATAGCACCTTCTCCACACACTGCACAATTTTTTTTTTGCGTTTCAGTGTTTTTACCATTCTTGAAATAATAAAGCATAGTATGCTCAAAATGTTGCATGTTTTCTTCCACCTTCAATATTAAAATGGCTACTCAAAAATTCACCAATTTCGATACTTTTTTAAAATGCATGCTGATATGAGAGCTGGCACAGTACAATCTAACAAGTGTTTTCAATGAAGTTAAAGACAACTAAGCACTATTAGAGCCATCTTACGGGAAAAAAGAAAAGGAACTTTTTGTTCAACCCAATAGATTACCCTCCTCAATGTGGATGAACATTGTGCAATCAGATGAGGCCTGAATAGAGCAAAAGACAGAGGAAGAAGGAATTTGTCTCCCCCTTTTTTTTCTACCCGTTTGCCTGCTTGAGCTGAAACATTGGTCTTTTCCTGCCTTTGGACTGGGATTTATATCATTGATTTCCTTGGCTCTCTGGCCTTTAGACTCGAATTGGAACTATACCACCACTTTCCTGGATTTCCAGCTTGTAAATGGTAGGCTGTGGGACTTCTCATCCTCCATAGTCGTGTGAGACAATTCATCACAATCAATCTCTCTCCCAATATTTATATATACCTACATACCTCTCCTCTCACCCCTTCCTCTGGAGAACACTAATACAACAGCCAATTCTGAGATCTGAAAATAGCTCATTTCACTACTTTTGAGATTCATTTCTCCCCACACTAATTTCTCTGAAATCAGGATCGCTTAACAATCCATGGCATCTTACAATTTTGTTCTGGGTGATAAAGTAAAGGTGAGGCTTAAAGTACCCTAAGGTGAATGAAGTTTACATTTTGGGGATCTTCATTTGCATGAGGCCCTTCCAGGCCTTATACTCAATTTGTATTTGTAATTTTATGTTCAATCTCTTAGAATGTGTCCCCCAAATGGTATGTGCTTCAGGCTCTATATACCTGCATCCATCTCTAACATATCTAGTGTATTTTTAGAAGATCAATTAATTCAGTAGGTCAATGATTAATATTTACAGAGGCTAAGGGAAGGGGAACAGGGATGAGTAGTGAGAGATTAGAGATTTAGGATCTGATTTCAGTGAATGATAGCTACATCCATTCATCTGGCAGAAGAAACCAGAAACTTCAACTTCTGCCCCTTTCTCATGCCCCAATCCAATCTATCATTAGGTCCTGTGTACGTCTCCTATGATAGAGACTCCTCGTTCTCCCTCAAACTCTTGTTTTCTCCTTTTCCTAGTAATAAAAACCTCTAGTTTTAGCCAGACACTCTGAACAAAGACAATTTTCCTGCCTCCCTTTCAGTTAAATGTGGATATAAGCCTTAGTTTTGGCCAAAGGAGTGTGTGCTGTATCCTTAGTTTCCTTAAATTGAAGTGGACTCTCATTCACCCCCTCTCTTTCCTCCCTCTTGCTAGCAGGAATATGGACATGATAGCTGGAGCTCCTGCAGACAACTTGGACCACGAGGCGACCTTAGGAAATGGAGCTACATGAAGCAAAATATAAACCTCAGTCCCTTGCACTGTGGAGTACTATATTAGTCCTGCATTACCTACCTCTGGACTTTCACTCAAAAGAGAAGTATCTCCAGTAAGATACTATTATTATTTTTTGTCACTCAGTTAAAATAATTTCCTACTAATAATCCATCTCCCTGCAAGACCTCACCACTATCCTAATGAGAGTTACCAATATGTCTTGCCTTTAATTTTAAAAGAATCTATTAATTGATATCCCCTTATTTACTCCTATCCATGCCAGTCTCCTACCAAAGAGTTTTGTACACAAGAGCCAAAGTGCTTGATTCAAAATGCAGACCAAATGCCATCCTGCCTATCCTGCCATAATAGAATAACATAGACTAGGTGGCCAAAACAAAATAAGTTTCTCACAGCTTTAAAGTCTAGAGGTCCAAGACCAAGGTGCCAGCAGGCTTCCCTGATTTGCAGAAGCTATCTTCTCATTGTGTCCTCACATGGCCTTTTCTCTGTATGCACACGCATAGAGAACAATGTCTCTTCCTTTTTATTTTTTGCACCAGTCCTACTGGACAAGGATCCCACCCTTATGACTTCACTTAAAGGCCTCACCTCCAAGTACAGCCACATTGGAGGTTAAAGCTTCAAATTACAGATTTTGCAGGATGCAACTCAGTTCCTAATACTCCCCTTCTTCAATCACATCCATGGTTTCTCACTGCTCTTAAAGTTGAGTAGTTTAAATGGCAAGACTCCCATACGGTCTATCTCCGTTTTCAACTCATAGTATGCTCTTCCTCACTCTCCACGTTTTAGTCACAGTGGCCTTTCATTTTCTCTGGCATGCTATGATTTCTCCCTCCTTGGGGCCTTTGCACATGCTGTCGCTTCCTTCCTACATGCTCCTTCTCCCCTCATGTTCCCTTGCTTGGTAAACCTCTCTCCGTCAGCACTAAGCTTAAGAACCTGTTCTTCAGGGAAGCCTTTTTTGGTCAACCATGTATTTCCCCACTATTATGAAAGCCCATTATAGGCTTTCATAGCTCCATGTAGCTCTTTTTAATAGCACTTATCATGATTTTGCCTTATATTTTGTTCAAGATTCTTTGGCTAATATTTGTTCTTTCCATTAGATGATAAACACGAGAACAGAGATATATAATTTTTTGGCTTATTTTTGTATCTCTAATGTCTTCTACAGTATCTAGAGCATATCTGACACTCAAGAAATAGTTTCTGGCCCCAGCCACTATGGCTCAGTTGATTGAAGTGTTGTCCTGTAACCGAATGGTTGCAGGTTCAATTCCCGGTCAGGGCCCATACATAGGTTGAGGGTTTGATCCCCAGTCCAGGTGGGGATGGGAGGCAACCGATTGATGTTTCTCTCTCACACTGGTGTTTCTCTCTCCCTTCCTCTCTAAAATCAATAAAAACAATGTCCTCAGGTAAAGATTAAAAAAGAAGAAGAAGAAAAATAAAGAAATAGTTTTTGAATGAGTAAGAGGTAAGTGGAAATTGGGTCATATAGAGGTGAATATAGAAGCCAAACAAGGAACCTGGTATTTTATTCTCAAGCAGAGGTAGCATGGCAATCAAGGATTTCTGGTAGTGGGGTGAGATAAGATGTCTTTAAAAGAATCTATTTTGGAAGTAAAATGACAAACGTCAATGGTTGTAGCAGATGCTGAAGTGGGAAATAAGGACTTGCGTTAAAGTTGTGCCAGCACCTGCTCTTCTAGTGAATTCTCCAGCGTAAGTCAGGTCGGGTCTGTTTCCCTCACTGCTGGTTTGGGGATTATCCCTGTTCATCTGTTTTCCATCTTTCAGTACGATGCTGCTATTATTTTATTTCCTGTTCTTCCTTTTTTGGTTAATTTATCTTTAAATCCCTTTAGTATAGTTTTAGTAGCATTTTGGGAGAGAGAAAAATTACAGGCATATATTTAATATACTCACTTTAACTTGGAGCTCCCTATGTTTTTCTTTTCATTATAAAAATTCTTAATGTTTATGGCAATAAAATTGCCTTTCATGTTGGCCAAAATGTTTGTTAAACAACACTGTCAAGTGATAGCAAAACTGAGGATGAAAGGGTGGAAGCATAAATTAATATATTTCTGGAGAGCAGTGTTTTTCCATAGGTTTAAAATGTACCTACTTTTTGAACCAAAAGGTCCACCTCTAGGAATTTATCCCAAAGAAATGATTTAGCTTTAAGGATGGTCATTACAGTTTTATATATAATTTAAGAATTGTCTGACAATTGGGAGCTAAATAAACTATATACTTTCAGAAATCATATATGCAGTCATTAAAAATGTTGTTAAACCACGCTTCTCACACAGTACTACTCCAGAGAATACCCAGTACGTGGTCATTTGCCAGGGGATATTGAAGCCACAGAACAAACTTACCTCATTTTCCTTACCTCATTTTCAGCACCAGTTTTACTGGTGATTTGGAAATGCGGTGTGACCACTAGTTATCACGGAGTTAAATGTCCTTTGTTCCTTTCTTCTTAGGTAATACGACCTCCAGCCCCACCCAGATTTGTAGCAGGGATGTTGCTGCTCAGAGTAACATACTACATTTCCCAGTGTCTGTGGTAGCTAGGTGTGGCTTTAGGACTAAATGCAAGTTCATAAAACTTCAGTGGAAGTGTTGAGAGAGACTTTCAGGGAGGCTAATTTGATGGAGTTGTTTGAATGGGAATGAAGAAATACGATGTACTTAAAAACTTCTGCTCAGTTAAAAAGAAAGTGTATATATATACACACACACATGTGTATATACACACATGATACATATTTAAAATTAATATTAAAGTGAATATTAACACAAAAAGTTCAAATATCTAATTTTATAGGTGTAGGGGGAGAGAAAAAAAGGCATGTGAGAAGACAGTTGATCTATTTCTATGAGCATCTTGCTACACAATGCCAATTTACCTCTACCATTAAATCCAACGTGAAAATGCTGACAAGGCTTATATAAACTGCTTGTGAGGCTCCTTTTGGTGTTCTGTACAGCGCCTAACTCTAAGCTTTCTAGATAAACTAGAGCAGATATGGGGTTATTTCACTTTTTAGAACCCAAGATGCTGGCCTTCCCCCTCCTTCCAAATTTGCCTCGGATCTAATATGTAGGGATTCAGGATTTTAGGCTTTGTTACGTGGATTTTGCATTGTGCTTCCTCTTTCTATCAACAGAAAACCTTAACTGAGTGTTGGACAGAGTCAACCCCCCGATCTATTGATGTTTAGAATTTGCGGCAGAAAAGCAGGGGCTGGAACAGACGGGCGGAGAAGACGCTCTCTGGGAACCATCCTGTGAGTTGGGGCGGTGCGAGTCAGGGCCCTGCCCCTCGGCGAAGCCAATAGCTCGGGACAGCCTGCGAGGCCTCCCCAGGTCCAGTTTATCTAGACCACAGGCAAGTGCGGAGGTACAAAGTTTGTCCGCTGCGGGGCACCGTAGTGGCTTTTTCCCGGGTGGAGCGGTCGGAGCCGGGCTGGGCACCGGAACCCAGTTCAGCTTAGAAAACCCTGATGGCTGCGTTGTTTCTAGTAACGCTGTATGAGTATTCACCGCATTTCTACATCGCGGTGGTCTTTACCTGCTTCATCGTGACCGCCGGCCTGGTATTGGGATGGTAAGTGCCCCAGAGCTAGTAACAAGAGATGGAGGGGCGGATCTCTGGGTAGTAGGGTGGCCGTGATCTGGGATGCTGCGGCGCTGGAGCACCTGGGGCTGTCGGGGATCTGGTGTCGAGGGCTCCAACTGGCTTCTCGAGGAAAATAAGGTGAACACCACACCTCTGCCCCTGGGCTTACCTCCCAGGAAGGATCCCTGTCGCTGCAGGCGAAGGGGGGTGGTGCCGGATTGAGGTGTTTTATTTACCCAGCTTTGTTTCTGGGTAATAAAGCATCCAGTAAGTGTCTGGTCTTGGTGTTGGGAATGAGTCCTTGTCCAAAAGGCTTCTGTCATGGGTTGAGGCCTACTGTGTGCTCAGAGTGTCCAGTCAGCTGCGGTACAGTGCACGGACATGGTCTGTAAACAAGTCTGATTGTTGTACTTCTGCACTGAGCACTTGGCCTCAGCGTCACTTGTAACAGAACTCCATTGTATCATGTTTAGGGAAGCCTTATAGATAGAGCTAGTTTAAATCATTTTACTAGTTCATCCGTTGAAGAAAGACATGAGCTACATTTTGAAGAATGAGTGTTTTGAAAAATAGATGGAGTACAGTGTGTGCAATGGAGAGTAGAGGCATTTCAGAGAATACAACTTGAGCAGAGTGGCAGAGGAGACATGTTAGTGAATAAAGCAGGCTGTGTAAAACAAGTTTAAAAATATCCTTTGATCACAATATAAGTGATTTCTTTAAACAAAGGACACCAGCCCTTGTCATTTTCTGACATCATATGCCATCGTTAGGAACTAAGCAAAGTTTTAATACTTTTACATGCTTCCCACACCGTAAGCAGAAGAGCATAAAATTGCTTGTTTGTGCATGGGAAAAGATTAAGACCAATTTTACACAATTTGTTATTCTTCGCCCATCAAATTTTATTGCTGTTGCCCTTCAAGAAAGTTTGTGATTGGAATTAGGGAGCTGTTGTCCATTTGAGAAAAGTAGTCTTAACACAGGATTTTTAAATAACTGTAACGTTAATGTTATTCTCTTAAAGAAATACAATTTTTCTCTATTAAAGGAAATAAGTAGTTGATAATTGCATTAAATCTTTAACTTTTAATTTTCCAATGGGCCAAATAATTAGATATCTCAGATACCTGTCTTCAGTATTGAGAAGAGGAAAATGAGTGAAGGCCATATTAATAATGACAGCAGCATCCCTGTGTGAGAGGTGGTCAGAAACACCATGTTTATAGTGGTTGAGAGACAGACGTTGGTATCAGACAGGCCTATGTTCAAATCCTGGCTTAGCCAGGTTTAAGACTTGTTTGAAGACTTAATGATACTGCATTTAGGTATGGCTTTTCTAAGGGTGGAAGCCTAGGTAATTGTAGCACTTGTGAAATTCTGGGCTAAACATTGCTGAGGCTGCAAGACCATGTCAGTGCTAGTCACTTTTGTTATGATTTGGGTCTAACCAGTCATCTTGAGCCTAACCCAACTATCCTCTCCATCTGGGTTAGCTCTGTCTGTGTAGATAGCTTTTTTACTAGCATTTATTTGCTAACATAAGCCAAGGTTGCAGATTCATTGAATTGAAAACCATCTAACTCTCATTGAAACAACTTTCTAATAGTACCCCAGGCAGAAGGTAAATCTATTAATCCACTATGCTCTTCACCCTTGTCCTTTTTTTAACCTTGCTAAATGTAATCCCTAGTGGTCATCTGTCTTCTCTGTCATGGTTCTTACCTCAGTTTAGGTCTGAGTTTCTTTCCATTGCTTCTTCCCACCGTTTTTCTTGTCCACCTGCACTGTGTGAGAGTGGAGAAAGAGCAAGAACTTCTGATCATAGGAATCCCAATAGCAATAGTATAGAATCATGCAACTAGACATATGGTATTTCTGTTTCACTACATGGTGGTTTCTGTGAACCTTAGCCACTCACATTTATCAAACTCCTGCTATTTGCCAGGCACTGTGCAGAAAAGAGACCAAAAAGCCATATACATTTTTTAACAGTTTCAGGTAATTGGGGACCCTGAATCTGCAGCTACTCCCTGCTTCTTCTTGACTATAGGTTATTAAGCTATTGTCTCTCAGCTTCATATCACCATTATATATTCTGCTTTGTGAATCTGAGGCAGAACCTTTAAGTCACATTTCTTCTTTGCTAGCTGGCAGCCCAGGAGGCTTTGCCAATAGGGAAGAAGAGTGAAAGGTTAGAGAACAAGAGGACTTGCTACTTCCTATTTGATTCTTTTAAAAAATATTTTTTTAATTGTTATTTTTATTTTTCAAGATTGTATTTATTTATTTTTAGAGAGATGGGGAAGGGAGGAACAAAGAGAGGGAGTGAAACAGCAATATATGGTTGCCTCTAGCACACCCCATACTGGGGATGTGGCCTGCAACCCAGGCATGTGTTCTGACTGGGAATCGAACCAGCAACCCTTTGATTTGCAGGCTGGCACTCAGTCCACTAAGACACACCAGCCAGGGCCTGATTCTTTTTCTTGTCTGTCTTACCACAGCAATAGTGCCTCACTCTGACACTAACAGTTGGCCCCACTTTTTCCAGGTTATAGTTTTCCACTCTCTTAGAGCCAGCCTCATTGCGCCCCTTCAAAGCTATCAATACCCTTTCCTCAGATTTGAGTCCCAGATCCATGAGGGTCCTTCCTCTACATTTCTAGGCTGTAGTAACTCTTTCCTCTATTCCTATCCTAGAAGAGATAGTTGCTTCTTACTGTTACTACTTCTTTGATACTCAATGTCCCCTTTTTGCCTTTTCAGTTCTTTAACTTCTGGTTAACAGTTTTTATATTAAATTATCTCTGTTAAAATAACTGGTATGGTTTTGGTTTTCTACTGGACTGATAGAGATATCAATAAAGAAATTACTAAGAATAGGATCCTGGGGGGAACCCTCAAAGATGGTGTTTGGGGAGTGGTCTGGTCATTTCTTCAGCTCCTTGCCAATGGGAAATACGCATTTAGTAACACATGACATGCACTGGCATTACAGTTCATCAAACCACTCACCACCGTCGGGTGATTGTGATAAAATGATTTCTGAAACAAGTGGCTTGGGGGACCAGGCAGCTAACACACTTGACCATTATGGCAGTAACGGTCACTACAGGACCGAGGGGTGGGTGGGATGGTTGCTTTTGAGATCACTGGAGTAGTTAAAGAGAAAATGACAAACTCAGGTCTTTTGATTCTCAGATCAAATCTTAGAGAATCAGACAGTTTCTGTGGTTCTAAAGTACTTTATTTCATGTTGCCACAGAGCTAAAAATTGAACACAGCTTTAATTGTGCTGATAATAGAATTACACAGCCCTGTAGTTGTCTCTTTTAGGACACTGATTGGAAAGAAGTGGAGCCCTGAAACTTGGAATGAGAACATCTGAATAGACTTGGGCAAAGCTGAGAGTCTTAAAACCCCAAGTCAGTCTGAGCCTTCTTTGTTGATTGAAGCAGCCTGCTTTCTGTGTATGAGAAAACCAACTTTGCCTTACTTAAAGATTTCATAATAACCTCGCCTGGGGCAGTTGCTTTGCAAAGGGCGTCTATACTCAAGTCCTGGATCTGTTATGTTTTGCTTCGAAGCTCAGGGACAGAATTCTGAACTGGTTAGAAATAGCCTAGCCTCTAAAAGAATTGCAAAATTTTGCTATTTTGTATCATTGAGAACTTTGGAAGTATATGTGAGAATGGATTGTAAATAGGTTAGGCTAAGCAGGGCAGAATCCTAAGCCTTCAGAATGTAACAGATAAGATTTATTGATCTGGGTGTATTCTCAAGAACTTCTAAATCTAAATTGTTCAATTCATATTTGGTTGACTGAAACTGGGGCTCAGAGGTGGTCTTATATTTCATAAGATTGACATGCTGGAACTTTCCTTACATATTGAGGAGGAAATCTGAAGGCTTAGGAAAATGGGAATATTGGACTGGATTTATTATGGGCAGTCTGCACACCCACCCTACTACTGCATTCTTCAAGAGTGCACAGAAGGTACACTTTTCCTGAAGGCACTGAGAAATGTGTTACTGGGAGGAGACACACTCTTGAGAATCCTTGGCACTTGCCTTCCCTAGGCCATTTACAATGGTGAGAGATGCTGCCCTTAAGGTAGACCTCCTGGCCTAAAGGCTAGTGGCCACAGGAGTCAAGGTGGACATATGTCCCATAGTGGGTAGTGGACCACGTAGCAGAAGACGTAGCAGAAAACGTTTTGGTCTGCTGAAATCTTGGCAGTGGCTAATCAGTTACAATGTCTCTAGGAATAAAAGACACTGGCTTACTAAATGCTACATGAACTGCACAGAAGGGAAAACTCCAACTTTGGAGCCAAAAACCTGACTTGAGTCACGACAGTGGAGAGTTACGACCTTTTGTCAGCTTCCAACTGGAAGCCAATCGTAGACGGAGAGCTTTTGATTGAAGGGGAGGTGAGGTTTCCTTGGGGGAGGTCCCTGTATCCTTCGGTGCTGCCATAAGGATATGTACTGTAAGTCCTCCTACAGACCTTTCTCAAAGGCTGTTGTCTCAGCTGCAAACATACTCTTCTGTCCCCTGCTTTTTGATACTGGCGCTGGCTAGGACTTTGCAAACCACATTTCTCTTGTACTAGTTTGCTGTCTTCTTCCACCTCAAGTTCCTTCCTCCTCCAGCCTCCCCGTCTCGCTCTTAAAGATCGGCCCCCTGTTCCTGGTCTACATTTCTGCAACGTTGGCCTTTACCCTGGCAGTGACAGTTGGCCCAAGTTGCAGCAGTTTATTTTAGTTTACAATTTTCCTCATACCCAGAACTAGCCTTAGGGCACTCCTTCAGAGATGTCAGCACCAGCTGGCCAGAACTCCTGCTGAAAAGGTCTGGGTCCCAGCTCCCTTCTCTAAGTTTCTAACTTGTAATAAGCCCCACTTTTTTCTTTGTGTCCCCAGCCCTAGCAGTGATGACTGCTTCACGCTGGGATACCTTTGTGTCCCTTTCTTGCCTTTTC